AACACAGCCATAGGACACCTGGATGCGCCACGTGTACCCCACCACGAGTCTCTCACGGTACTGAGTGCCGTGGTCAGATAACCAGAAGCTTCCAGATGCATTCCAATCAAGTGTAACGTAGCGCACACAGCTGGGTGTATTCAGGTGGAAGAACAGGAAGCTGAAAGCAGAGGGAAACTACACACCACCACCACAAATTTGATGGGTGCTTACAGAAAAACTGGAGCCAGCCTCTGTTTGGATGTGTCCTGCAAAAAGGACAAGTGTCTCAGCTGGCAGCACGGGAGATTTCAGCTGGCTGTACAGAAAACAGTTCTTCACACGGTGGTGAAATGGGAGAGCACAGGCTGAGCCTCTACTAGCACAAAATGCAGACCCCCGACATCCAGGGTACTATTTGAGCCATTCTCCTACTGGACAGCAGGCTCTGAGGTCGAAAACAGTGGCTTAGATCACCACAGGGGAAGGACGGGCTCCCTGCGGGCACTTCGGGCCGGCAGAGACACCCCAGTGACCTCTCTGCACTAGGCAGCATCTCACCATCTCCAAGGCAGCACAAAAGGTTAACACTTGGGCCTTATTTTACACACCACAGGCAGCCACAGCGAGGGGCTCCTTTGCTCTCATGCTCTCTAATGTACCCTGGAAACACTGTCCAAAGCGATACAGCACTCAAAACGTGGGTGGGTTGTTTTGTCAGACACGTTTCTCCTCCCCGTTCTCTCACCAGAGCTCGCACACTTACTCAAGAGACAGACGGGAGAATTTAGATGGCCAATCCACACGGAAGAGCAGCTCTCGCTGCAACAGCTGATGATAATTTTGAGTATGACTCCAAAGGAAGAGGTAAGCTTACAGACTCACGAGCTCTAGAGCTCAATCTACTGCTTTGCTTCATCCTTCATAAACGCATCGCCACAACCAGCTATCAAGCACTAATGTCCTAAAAAGGACTAATTAAGGTTTAAATACATGGCCTGAGCCTGCCTACGGCTTCTGCATCACACAATGTTTTGCAACACAGCCACGACTTATTCCTGTCTTTCCGCCTCCCCTTGGCAGCAAAGCAGAGGTCTCACAACGCTCCGCACACACCCCAACGTAGGCCCGCAGGCCCTGATGCGCACACTGAGCTGCTCTCATGGGTAATGGTTCCGAAAAGCTGCTCTCCTGCCTTCAGTCTGGATCCTTTCCATGGACCATCCCTTCACGCACTGATGCTTTAGATTAGAGCTTTAGCTCTAATCCAGACCCAAACTAACAGTGGGTAGAACCAGACGGAGTGAGAGGCACACGGCAGACGCAGCACTACACACCGAGCCCTACAACCACGCCCGCCCAGGCATTAATGAGACCGCCGTTACACAGGGCTTGGGGCACACGCCACAGCCAACTGCCCAGTCCGTGCACCTGCCGAGTGGCCGAGCACACACACAGCCCCGTGAAGGGCCCGCAGAGCCATCTCACCGAAAGGAGAGAGTTAATCCCCAATTCTGAGCCTCACAAACAGAAACTGAATAAACCTTGTTAGGGAAAATAAAGCTGCGTGTTTATTTAGTGCCACTTCCCACTGCTGTATCCTCAGAAATATCTATGGGACGTAGCAGTGGAAAACTGTTTTGGGCAAAGGCTGAACACAGTTCATCTGTCACACACTGAGCCAGCTTTGGGAGGTTTGTTTCTTGTCTCTAAACCACATTCCCACCAAAATAATCTAATAATTATTTCCCCCTCTGCTTCCCCTTCCGTCAGGAACACAGCAAACAGTTGAAGAGGAGAACCCCAGCACCCTAACCCCGTACCTGCTTGCCTTCAGGAACGAGGTTCAGCGTACCATACACCGCAACGCTGCTCTCCGTAGAGAGAACCAGCCCGTTGTAACACTGACACTGTGAGAGACAAAGGGGGGGTTAAGGCCGTTCATAACATTTCATACGCCCGCTGGAGTCACAGACAAGATGAACTCACGGTCAGTTTCATACGCCCAGTCACAGACAAGATGAACTCACGGTCAGTTCCAACACTTCTCACACTGACAATAAACTCAAGTGGTAGGAGATACAATGTAATGGTAATACAACTTAATCAGTAGGTTTAGGAGAACTTCCAATTTTCTGCATAAAACAGAAAGGGATGAGGTGTGAACACCTGGCTTAATGGCCTGGCTGAATTTCTTCTCAGGAAGGAATTCTTCCCACAGAGGGCGGGAGCACTGGGACAGGTTGCCCAGAGAAGCTGTGGATGCCCCATCCAGGGAGTGCCCAAGGCCAGGCTGGATGAGGCTTGGAGCACCCTGGGCTATGGAAGGTGTCCCTGCCCATGGCAGGGGGTGGGGCTGGGGGGGCTGTAAGGTCCCTTTCCCACCCAAACCATTCCGTGATTCTATGACAGAAGAGAATCAAGCCGTCACAGCTTACCAGCTCATCCGAAAGGACACACTGAAGAAAGCCTGTGCCATCTCTCAAAACAATGAACATCAAATTTTTCCCTAGTTGAGAAGAAAACCAGCTTTACTCATGGACCCGTTTAACTGACCCACTCCCAGACACATTAACCACTGATGTGCAGAGCATCACAGGAGGATCACATTACTGTGATCGCACGCCTCTGTCCTGAAAGCCAGTTGCTCCAGGGAAGCACTGAGCGTCCGCGCAGCAACGGATGCCATCCACAGCCGTACGTCGAGTTGAAGGAAGTTCAACCCTCAGCAAGAGCAAAGCCTGCCCAACCTCAACCGATCACTTCCAGAGCAAGCACTGCCTGCTAAACTTCTACAAGTTCTGCTACTTCGTGTAGCTTCAAAATCCCAGTTTGCTCATTTCACTGGGAGCAGATGCTTCTTAGCTCCTTGGCTTGCAGGATTAGTTTAAAACACAAACCAAGTGTTAAGAGGAAATTCTGCAGGACTGGTGTCCAAACAGAAAAGATTTCAACCGTATCCTGATATACCAGGCAGAATTTTCAGTCTGGCAGTGACCACTGTGACAAACCAAAGAGGACATCTTACTGAAGGATTAAAAACTGAAGAGCAGGTGCTGCCTGATTCACTCTAAGTGTCCAAATTTTGAAGGTTACTGTGTTTGTTCCGTCCCTCTGCATAGGTTCAGTAACTCCAAAATGCTTGTGGCTTACCTTGCCTACGTAACCTGTGGATCCAGCCAAAGATCTTCACTCTCTGGCCTCTGTAAGCCTCCAGCGCATCAATCTTCACCTGTAAACCACAGCGAGTAAAAGCAATCAGAGAAAGGACTCACCCTTTTGATGATGTTTTCCACATTGCTCCAAATCCGAGTGTATCGAGACCCCCTCCTCACTTCCAGCCTTCACACCGAGTCCCTTCTATTCAGCAGCTTACTCTGCTGCATGGAAACCAAGGACTGGGGCAGCTTTTAAAGGAGCTTCCTTGCATTTCACAGGAAGGGGAAGAAGGCAACAGCTCGCACCTCCAGACTAGAGTACTTGGGTGCTACCGGAAAGCCGAGGTGCATTAAATCACCACAAAGCCTGGAAAGGATGCCTTGGCCATTTTCTGGCACGGATTAATGGCTAAAGACATTCGATGGATGAGTTCCGTTAGCAGTCAAAGAAGCAGAGTCTACAAACAGCCAAGCAAGAACGACATTCCATGTCCCTAGAAATTACATCACATTCTCTAACCAGCACTGCTGCTTCACGCTCCATCACTACCACCATCAAACAAAGCAAAACCAATTAACTCCTCCAAGCGGAAATACGGTCTCTACCAGAACAGAGACAGTCTGGTACGTGAACCGAGAAGGTTCAGGTGCCCATCACAGGCGTGAGAAAGACCGAAGTCTATGGACTAGGGGGCAGAGATAACCAGGAAAACTAAGCTACACTGCCTTTAATGGCCTCCAGCAGCTGCCAGAGCTACAGAGCAACGAGTGACTCAACCTTCGTGCAGACACGACGCTGTAACACAGGCGCACGGGATCTTACTCACGCATTTCGGCTCTGGAAGACTAGGATCATTCTTGATAACGACCTTCTTGGCTTCCTCAAGGTTCTTCTCTCGTCTCAAGAGATCTTCTGCCTGGTTTAAGACAGTATTGAATGCCTGTAACCAGGCTTTGTGGGATTCCCACTGTAAGGTGTACGCTTACAGACACAGAGATCGCAAAAGGCCTGGATGTTACCCTGCCGGGACCAAAACCTGCCCTAATTCCAGACCAGGGTGACAAGCAACGCACAGATGCATTTCTGTTTTTTTCCCCAAAAAGTCTGAAGGCAACAGACCGCAATTATTCAAAACGCACTCACTTCCAGCCATTTGCGTGTCCTAATCTAATCAAAGGCAAGTCGTAAACAACGTATGTGTACGAAGAACAAGCTGAAGCTTTTTGGGAGGGGTGGGAATGGCGACGACGCTGTATAATGTTTTTGGAAAAGAAAGCTGTTTGATTTTATCATCTGCAACCTACCTCCTTCTTCTCCTTAGCGTCGTTCTTCATCTGCTCCCTGTGCCACAGCTTCTTCACGTTTTTCATCTGCGACTTGGAAATAATGGCCCATCTCTAAACCAAACCAAAGAGAGAGCAGAGGATGAAAGATTTCACGTGTGCCCCCTCACAGATAGCAGCATTATAACAGTTTCTGCTACGAAGCAATAATGCTACAGCACCTCGTTTTCTTTTTGTGAATCCACATAAATAGTAGGGAACGGTTCCTTTCCTGCTGTCATCAAGGCCTAAAGAGGGGAGAAGAGAACAGAATCAGTGGTGCTACAAGTGAAATAAGTCATCCTTAAAAACACTGAACAGACAACCTACTTCTCACCCTTCTGGTCAGGGATACAAGATCATACGTCTTTTATGTACATTTTATACCAATTTACACATAGAAATACAAGGCAAACCGCTGGACCTAAAGTGCAGTTCTCACCCATCAAAGCAGCCAGCAAGTGTTTCCCAGTTACCTTTAAAACAGTCTTGAATGGCTTCTTTTGGGTCCCATCACCAGTGGAATCGTTGCCTTCTCGTTCAGAAACATACAGTTCTTCTGTAACACAGGGCAAATACAGGCAATTACTCAAAAATAAAAATTATCAGCCTTGGAAATGGCCAGGAAGAAGCTGGACACACAGGAGGATGCAAAATCCTCGCAGTTAACAGCAGGGATAAACCTTCAAAACCAACCAGGTGGTCTGGCGGGGTAAGAGTTATTTAACATTTCCATTCTAAACCTCAATCCCTGCAGGACGTTACCCGAGAGCCTTCCGGGCTCCCAAGGCACTGAACTCCTGGAAGTCACCGGCTGCGCATCAGGAACAAAGAGGGCGCAGCTGTTCCTGAACTCGCTTTTCCCGGGCGAGCAGGGAGCCGGGGAGTGGAGAGCAGTCAGAGTCCGCGCCAACGCCCGGCTCACGCGGTGCCGAGAAACGCGCCGCACGTTAAAGCGCCGGACATCTCGTCATGCCGGTGCCGGGGCGGGACCCCCCCGCCACCCTGCCCG